CAGGCGCGGCTCGCGCACCGTCACCACGCCCGTCACCGCGTCGATGGCGAACGTGCCGGCCTCGTTGCCCGCGCCCAAGCTGTACGAGATGCGCTGCCGCCGCCCGTCCGTGCGCACCGCCGCCACCTGCCGAGTATCACAGACACCGTCACCACAAACGTCTTCACCGCAAGAGGGTGCAAATTCAAATCCAGATCACCAGGATGTGTGCAAACGCAGGTCATTCGGGTAGTTATCAGAGCGCTGCTATTTGTCCCGCGAAACTTATGAGTTTATTTCAAAAATGACGTACCTCTATGAAGTACAATTGTGCAGGGGGGAAATTATTTACTTTCTGTTAACTCAGGATACTGCAGTTTTGCATATACCGTTTAACATTACAGAAAAGCGATTTTTAAACACAATTTGGCAGCATCTTGGGAAGCGCCTTAAGAATGTATTAATTCGTAAACCTAGAAAACAAACAGAAATGAAGATACGAAACTTTGGAAATAAGCTCTTCAATGTATGTAACACCTTGTACAAACTCTCAGGTTCTTGAAAACACTGGAAACTGCAATACTTCGCGTTACTGAGAAAAATCCATTTTGAGCTTTGCGTTTTTTAAGACACTTGCAGTCACTGGATCTGCTCCTTAGAAAGCTGGTTGTAAGCTGGAGTAGAACATATAGTAAACCTACATCACATATCTTTAGCCGAGAATTTCAGAAATAATAGTCATACAAGTAATAACCACCGCTTGATGATAATAATCGGGATGGATTAATACATGAGCAGACATCCCAAATAAATTTTACACGAAGTAATGTACTAGTTGATAAATTACGCATTTGGACGTAAATAATGGTATCTGACATTTTGCACTTCATAAAACAATGTAATATGTTACCAATAACGACATCATATGAGCAACACATGCGTTTAAACTATCATAGATATTTGTCATATTTGTCGTCTGTTCATTCCCCCTTGTAAGACAGAGTGTACTACAAACTCTCCTTCATTAATGTCAATTATGTTGATTTATCCCAGAATGTCAGATAACATCATTTACATCCGAAGGCTTCAAGTATATACAGTTATTTTTTGATTTGCAAAGCAATTTATTCCCATATTCATTTTGACTATTTTTGTTCAATATTATTAGAGGTCCATAGTTTAACCATACTCAGGGCTCCTTAATATATTAACACCCCCCCCCCGATGATAATGTTATTCCCAATCCCGAGTTTGGAAGGGCAAGTATGGGCGAGTAAGCAAGATATCGAACCATGATCCCACATCATTTAAATTACGTTATTTAAAAAATAGATGAAACGGCATGGTTTGGTTGGAGTTTTTATAGAAGTAAATCCTGAAGTTAAACATCTGAAGTTAAAAATCTATGGGGAGGAGAGTACTTTTTTCTTTTTTCTCATAACTGTCGGACTCCCGTCGGCCATCCGGTATTTTACTCAATTAAGACAGAAGCGAAGTGGCGATATCGAAACGCGTGTGTTTTTTTCCTGTGTGGCGTGCCATGCCTCTGTCGCTAGCAGAGTCGCCGGAAGACTCTTTACGATTTCCGCTCGCATTTTTTCGATCGACGCCGCGTCTTCATCGCCTGAAGACAAACATCCCGGGGCAATGCGCCGATTAAGCCACAGTCGGCACCCCCTCCCACAATCTGGAAAAAGGGGGCTTTTTAAACATTTATTTTCTCCTGATACGCACATTGCATTTTCAAGGGTTTAATGTGACACATATGTGAATACTTTTAGGCAATATTATTGAATGCATATGCACAATCAATGTTTAAAGAATTTAGTTTCAGGAAAGTAAATATATAGTAAATTAAATTTAAAAATTTAAATCAAGTATTAACTTTTAAATTTTGAAAATTTTTACTGGTAGTATTCTGAAGTATCAGTATTAATTCATGAAGCGATAAGGTTGGGAAGTGGTACGAAGTGGATTTAAATGAAATTAAGTGACGACTACCATTTGACGCCTTGAAAAAGTCAATAAAGAGCGGATACGTCGTTATCGGTGTTCGAGAGTAGTGTGTAATTATTCAAAACCCGCATAGAATTTCATCTCATAGATACAACTTCACTACACACACGTTTTGATGAGCACTCCATTGCAGTAAGGATACATCTGAGGATATAGGTTGCTATTTTGTTAGGAATACTATAAAATGAAAGCATTAGTTTGTTTGCTGATGCAAATAAGGTTTCTATAACTCGGGGAGCAAAAATATCTTTCTTTGTTTCCCTCCAAATGTTGCTAACCGAACTTTATTGGTTCTTATTCATCCGTCATTCGTCATTCAACGCGTATAGTCAAAGAATTGGGAAATGATTCTAGGGCACACGAAAACGTCCGCAGATTGTATTCCTCCCTCTATGTCACATTCAGTTTTTATTGCTTTTTTCTTCAGAAAATAAATAAAATCAAATGAAACGTTCCAACAGAACCGCGAGTATCTGCGAGGCCACGACGGTTCCCTCAACCGGCAGCGCGGCGCGTCATAAACATCCCGCCTGCAAAGTGCGTAAAGAAAAGAAGCAAGTGCAAGAGCGACTCGTCTCTCCCGAGAAACGGCATGCGTGATTTCGGAGAGGATCATCTGGAGGGCGGGGAAAAAAGCGGGAGACCATTTACGTGTCGGGAAAAATCTTCCCGCGGTGAACGCACGCGTGCCGGGACAGCGGCCGCGGAGGGGGCGGCGACAGCGGAGGCAACGGCGGGACCATTTTGAAAAAGGCTGGAGCTCCAAAAACGAATTGCCGTGGAAACACGCGGTTCAGCGCGTCGTAAAAGATTGTTGTACCGTCTATTTATTTTTTCGCCGCCGCCTCCATCCTTACCACCGCACAATGGTGCGGATCGGGAAAATCAACGGACAAAAACAAAAACGTCTTCAACACTTCGAAATTCGCAACTGAAGCTTCATAGTCTTTTATGTGCTACGCGCGAGTTCTCCAGGTCGCGAATTTTAGACGCCAAATGATTAGCTGGGACGAATCAAACCCTGTGTGGATGCAATTTCTGGAGGTCGGATGCGCGGAACAGTGGTTTCTGTGCTCTCTCTCAATCCAGACGGATACAGTAGCAGAACCTTCAGCAACGGCCCGCGCACTATTATTCCTTTTTATTAATCTACATTTGTACAAGATTTAATTTGAAATTACATAATTTACGAGAGTTGGAAACCAACGTATTTCCTAGCATTTTTTAAAAATATTATGGTGCATTTAATGATAGGGGTATACGTTCTATGCATTATATTAAACTTATTTTTCACTAAAACAAGATATTTACGCAAATTAGAAAGTCTAAATTCGTTTTGGCAAGAAACAGCTACAAAGTAAAACGAAATAACAACAAAAAGTATATTTTATAGCAGTAATAATTACTGGGAAACGTGGAATCCCAAATCGAATGAATTAACGATCGAAATACTTAACTATATAAAACCATTTTTATATAATACCCAAAAGTAGCAAAACAGTACGTAATATGAAGCTGTGGACATTTTTCTTTCCACAAGTTCTTGAATAATGTAGATTGGCGTTTAAGAAATTGATTTTGTCCGCATTTTGCGTCTTTGAAACCAACGTCCACAGCCGCCGTCGTCGTCGCCGCCGCCGCCGCCGCCGCGTGTCACGCAGCAGGCCCTCGCAATAAAACGCCCCGGCCTCGCGTTTCGTTTCTGGGCGTTCTCGTTTTCCTATGGCCTAATCAACCAGTTACGTCGCGGCGCGGGGCGGCGGGGCGCGGGGCGCGGAGCGCGGGGCGCGGGGCGGCGGGGCGCGCTGCGGCGGGCAGACGGACGGACAACGTGCGGCGGCCGCGGCGGCTCCGCGATATTATAACGTCTGGAGTTCCGCCGGTCGCGCGCGCCATAAACGTCTGCCGAGAACGGCAGCGAAGTTTCGCGAAGATGTGAAACGAATGATTCCCTCCCTCGTTTCTTCGGTAATTTACTTTTATATACTCTTGAAGAACGCTGTGTTGCCTCGAGAAAAAGAGAGAGAGGGGGGAAGAGATGGAGGAACTCAGGGAGTGAGAGAGGGAGAACCGAAGCGAAATAATAAAAGTAGAAAAGTGCTTTACTCAAGATGATGAGCAATTTGAAATAATCTGTAGGGTATTTTGAGATGGAAGTTAATGAGATTCATTGGCCCACAAAAATGTAAGAATTAAGCACACACCCAGAGTACGCGCAATAAAATATACATTTCGCGGCTTTATGAGATACAATTTGACGAAATTCTCCGAAAATTGTGTGTATTTAAGAACGTGCAAAATGAGGAAAGCATTTCAAAGAAATTTCCTCGCGAACATTTGGAGTTATTACCGAATATGGTTACTTGAAAAGCTACAAAAAAACAAGAAGTGTATAACATTTCCATGACTTTAATGAAGACCGGCGACGTATTTGGGGTAATAATCCAGCCAAAATACAAACATTTTTCACAAAAAACTTAAGTATGGAAACAAAAACCATTAGTGATAATGAGTAGTACATATTATTGCCTGGGCCCGGAGATCCTTGATTGCCTTCAGCTATGATTATTAAATGTTTGCTATGTCACCCAGAAATTATTAAGGTTTACAAATCTTTCCTCGTAAAGCGGAATTTTTGATTTCGTATTTAACTGCATCCTAAACTTACACATTTATTTTGTAATCTAATTTCATACGTTAATTACTTTCTTTGTTTTTTTACTGGCAGCATTTCAGAAATACGGACATTGGTTACAGATAAGGTAAGTATGCAGCGATAGACCTGACGATATTGTCGTAGAGATTTAACTTTGAGTAAAAACTGATATGGCGATGGAGAAGGTGAGAACGAGGATCAGGGAAAGGGGAGGCGAGTGCAAGGAGGAGAATGAGGGAGTGGGCGAGGGCGAATTGGAGGGCCACGGCGAGAGATACTATGAAGACCAAGGCCAGAGGGAGGGCGAGTTATAATGCGAAAGCGAGTGCAATTGGAAGTTCACGCGTGCTTGATAGTGTCCAAGGGGCGGGGCAGCTGCCCGTGGCCAGGGTCTGCAGGAGTGGCGGCCAGCAGAAGGAAACCATAGGAATAGGGGCAGCCGTGCGACGCTCTAAGAGGTTGAACGAATGGCGAGTGCGTCGGTGACACATGCGCGTCGGTCGCGATGCGTCGCCGCGACGCCAGCGGCCCAACCCCGCCCCGCCCCGCGCCGCCCCGCCTCTGTCTCCATTGTTGGGCCTTCTGCGGCGGTTCCTGGTACGGGGGCCGCCGTCTACGTGGAAGCGTGAAGTCTTTATTCGTCGGCGCTTTGAGCCGTTGGCGGGGCCCATAAAAGTAACACCGCAGCGCCGTCTCAACTTCCCCGCACCGCTCCCTTTCCCCGCCCCGCTCCCACAGCCGCTGTCGCTCTCTCGCGACTCGCGAGCGGCCACCCTCGCCCGCCCTCGCTTCGTCAGCCGCGCCGCGTCGCCCGTGTAGGGATGGCAAAAAACATCGATGCTTTCCACCAGAAATGTCGACATATTACCATCGATATTTTGTTTTCCGGTTTTTCTTTTTAGAACGATTAATTTGTCCAGGAACATCGATGTTTTTTACAAAAAGTTTATATTATCTTTATCGATTATTTTGTTCGCGGTAATATTGTTAAATTGTATTTTGAACCTTGTCTGCGTAGAATATTAATCAGAAAATTATGGTAACCGAGTGCTTCATGGCAGAATACTATACTTTAAACAATTTTTTACGTATTGTGTACAGGAAGTTTTTCTTGGAATATTTATAAATGGAAGTGAAAAGATGGAATAATAGCAAAACACAGTGTCTTTAATTTTTTAATTCCTTATTCAAGGGAGACGTGCAGTCCATAAACATTATTATTAACATATTATATATTATAAGTGAGCAAACAATGAAATATATCGGTATTTCATTTAAGTACTCTAATTAAAAATGGAAACTGGACGGTAAATAACATGTTTTATCATATATAAAATATTGATATTTTAAACATCGATGTTTTTTGTGCACGATTTCATTGGCATTGAAAATCTTTCGGTCCTGTATCGAAATATCGATGTATCGAAATATAGATGTTTTGATAAAATTTGCCATCACTACGCCCGCGCCGGTCGCCCAAAGTCATTACGCTCCCGACGGTCTTTTTGCGGGTTGGCGACAATGTGACATAACCGTACGGATACGTGCCTTTGAATACAGTGCTGTATCGTCAGCCACGTGCTGACGCCTTGCGATGGCGTTGCAAAGAGCAAGGTACTCTAAAAGGCTTTCGTTTTTGGTATTCGTTTCCACACTTGCAAAGAAAATTAACAGGTAACGCAGACAATTATTCGTTTTAACCGTGGCGACATTAAACGCTCCGACATCTTCAAACGGTCCTCGCTCCGGAGATAATATAACGTTCGGTTATCATTTACAGACGTGCAGCGACGTTTAAGGAATTGACGGCTATAGATGGCTTGGACGATAATAATATCTGCTAAAAGCCATTAATTCTAACATTATTTTCCAAAGTTATATAGCAAATTGAACGATAGTGCGTATGCGAATTAAATTCATTTAACCGGAAAGACATAAAAATGAACCGACATCCCTACATGGAATTACTGCATATAGAGATGTAATGGCTGGCTCGTAAAATACGGCGGAAAGCCAACGAATTACGCGACAACAATGAGGCGAATCTTTGAGTCATTTCATTTAGAACCATTTGAATCAGGAAGGATAGATGAAGTTTTCAATATATTGAACAGCCAAATAGAAGAATGTTGTAAAGGAGTTGGCACTGTTTAAATCTCTATATAGACAATCGAAAAAAAGAGAAGTTATTTAATTTTTGTAATGATATTTTACGTCGTTACATCGCATGCAAAGACAATGACCAGAAGCGTTCCTAAACCCATTCATGTGTCTCCATTCTTTAAACCGGGGGTCAGCAATCCGCGATCCGCAAAGCCATCTCATGCGGCCCGAAGGGCCTCTTCTATATTGGTCTACTGAAAATTAAATAATTATGAATTTTTTGAGGCACTTTATGTGGCTTACAACAAACCGATAAAAAAAAAGTTGAATACACGAACGGAGTTCAACGCAGTTGTTATCTGTAAGTTTGCAACAATCTCTACTAGCCTAGCCTATATAATTGTACGTGGATCCCAAGCTCGTTTTGACATAGTACTAATAGAATCACTAAATATAAATTTAATATTTTAAATTTGTTGGAGTTATGCTTAGCCCGTGACCTATTGGGGCCCACAGTTACCAAAATGTTGCCGACCTCTGTTTTAAACGATTTAGTCAACTATTAATCTCCCCCTCTCTGGCACAATAAACAGTTGAAGGCAATAGCTCACAGCGAGGGCCGATGACACCATTCCAAACACATCTTCCCGAGCGCGAAAAGAAACTATTTTCTGTTGAAGACCTGTCGGTGGTTATCCCCAAAAATTTAAAGAAATGACCCACGCAGGTGAAGATCCATCAGAGGAGGAACCTCGAACTTTAGAGAAAGCCAGAACGCAAATTATCTAGTAGCCCATTTTGTAACTAATAATCCCACTCTACCCGCATTTCTCCAATCCATAGTTAAAGGAAAGCTGCGCGAGTTTTACCTCATATTATCAAGCAACGACCCCAGTTTAATTCCTGTCCCGGAAAATTGTGTGTCGGGAGACCCACCTGCACCACCTCCCGGCCGACGGGCGCGTTCTCGGCCAGGCTGACGGCGTACGAGGCGTTCTGGAAGCGCAGGCGGGCGGCGCCCTCGGCGGCGTCGCCCACGCGCACCTCCACCAGCCCCGAGGCGCTGCGCGGCGGGTTGCCCTTGTCGCGCGCCAGGACCTCCAGGTGGAACAGCTTGCCGGCCTCGGCGGCCAGGCTGGCCGACGCCGTCACGATGCCCGTGTTCGGGTTGATGCGGAACTTGTTGCCCGGCGGCTGGTTGACGAAGCTGTACACCACCTCGGCGTTGGTGCCCTGGTCGGCGTCCTGGGCCTCCACGCGCACCAGGTTGTGGCCCGGCTGCGTGTACGCCGGCACGTCCGCCGTGAACGGGTACTGCGTGAAGACCGGCGCGTTGTCGTTGACGTCGCCCACGCTGATCTGCACGGGCACGCGCTGCGAACGCGCGTCCGCCCGCCCGCCGTCCGTCGCCACCACTTGGAAGCGGTACACGCTCTGGCGCTCGTAGTCGAAGGTGCTGCAACACGGCGGGAGCACGGGGCGCGTCAGCCTGGGGCCAGGCCTCGGGCGCGGAACCCTCGCTTCACACATCCCAGAGAAAATCTTTCAATTGCCCCCAAGCAAATAAAACAAGGGAGTAGAAAGCAGGAGAAAGTCAATACAGAGACAGGCAGGCAGACAGACAGACAGACAGACAGAGATGATGCTTTTCACTTTCTAGGTTAAAAAATGCAAAAAATAGGAATACCATCATGTTCCTCTACACCTTCAATTACACAAACTCAGTATTTTTTTAAAAAATACGGTCAGCTCTATTGATTGACATCAAGATTTTTTCGAGTCCATATTGGCTTCTGCGAACTCGTTACTTTACGGGATTCGTTCGTCAGAGTCCCAGCATCATGGGGGTCGCCATACCACAGCCTTGAAATCCACATATGTCGGGAGTCTAGTTAGGAGCCAGACGTCATCCTGGCTGGGGGGATGCCTCGCTGAGGGATATCTGAAGAGGGAAACCCCACAGGCCGATGTGTATGTCAGCGCCGGATCACAATTTCCAACGGGGGAGGAATGTCGCCACCTCCCTGGATATAACGCACTAGACTTACGGTTCTAATGAGTCCAGCAGATGACGTACCCAGAAACATTATATAATCAATCAGCATTATCAGTAGCGGGAAATTATGATTGAGAATGTACTTGCGCCGTTCTCTGGAGATGTACCTGGGAGTGAAAATTTATTGGAAAATTACAGGTCCATAATGACGCCCATGACAATGTTAACCAAAAGAGGCCCTGTCGGCGGGAGCAAACGGACACGTTTCCAGAGCGCAGACATCCTCTGCAACCACAACTGTATTACTTCTTAAGCATTTCCGGGTGGGCGGGCGGCGTGAGTGCCCGCTGCGAGCCCATCAACGTCACGCGAATCAAAAAGGATTGATCTCGACGTACCGCGAGAGCGCCAGCACGCTGCCCCCGCCATCGCCGCCGCCGCCGTCTCGGCCACGGCCCGGTCTTCGGGGCTCCCGCGCCCGCACTCGCTCCCCAGCCCCACCCCAACCCGCGAGGAGCTTTTTTTGACAAACCGCTAAAGCAAATGGATAAATCAAACACGTGTGGAGTTCGCGTATTTAATGAAGTAGAAGTACTTCAGTATTTTACTTCATTAAAGGTATATTATAATAAAGCAATGTATGCTTTCACAGCTATATTCACAATTTAAATTACCGTCCAGGCTGCACGGTAAGGTCTAGGGAAAATCCATACGTTTCGTCTGAATCAGTCTGTTATGACACTTCGTCCACGTCACTGACTATGTCTGTCGCAGATGAATCGTATGAAAAAATAATCTCATCCAGACCACGGCCGTCCAGCCCAGAAGGTAATTTGAATTGTATTTTAATAAGTAGTGAATCATGATAAAGGTAGGTGAGGCAAGACTATGCGTAGATATTTGGCGCTGGCTGAACTCAAGTATGTATTAAGTTCGTCGTGAAGGCTGAAGGCTGAAGGCCTGAACCGAACTTTGGCGATTGTTTTAATAAGGTAAACTAACCCAGCTTCCTCACCACGTATAGCTTTGGAATCACCAGTTACAACGCAGCGCATTCCACACGCGTTCAATTTGTTCAACGTCTCCCATTCACGCTCTCGCACCCCTTTCCACGCCTCGCTCACCCACACATTTACCGTCTCCGAGAGAGACTTTAGTGCACCCCCTCCTTTCTCAGCCCGCTCACCGGCTCCCAC